TATGGTGCCAGTCTTTATTCCCTGCTTCTAGCTGCTACATGATATTAAAAGGAGTAGGAAGCAAAGAAGGGAAATCCCTTCTTAAAATTGTGTATACAAACAATAGTTGCATCAATGCAGATGGAAGGGGATCCTGTCCAAAATACACACTCAAAAGCAGCAAGTGCTTCAGTCTGACAGCTAGTCTCTACCAAACCTAGTTTTCATGGAGAAAGGCATTGCACTTGGAAATGAAGGAAGAGGAGAAGGAGGAGGAGAAGGAGAAAGAGGAGGAGAAGTTGGGAGCTGTTATGTTATTCCCTGAAGCCCAGGCCTTTCTGCAGGTGGCAGGCTTCCACCGCCATCAGCATCATCAGCATCCTCACTCTGTGCAACAGCTTGGCTGTCAGGCCCTTAGCTGTGTTTCTGATGGGAACTCTTCCCCAGGATTTTCTTAGTAAGCCATTACGTACAAGCAGACCAAAAGGGCACTGTGGACGTCAAGGCATCTTCCTTATCCTAGGTTCTGACTACTTGTCAGATGGGGGCCTAGTAAACAACATCCTCCCCTGCCTCCCACTTTCCATGTGAAGGGAAGCTGGGCAGGAAGGCTGGCCAGGGTCACATAGGCCTGTGCAACAGCTCCTGAGAACTGCCAGGCACATCAGGGCTCACAGCATCCATCTACGTGCTGCTCCAGGTCTGAGATCTGGTAAAGGATGCAAAGGCAGAACAAAAACATTTAATTTCAAAATATAAAGCTTTCTGTGCCATTCTCTTCATCCACCAAGCAGCGACAGTGCAAAAGAACATAGTTATCAGTGCTTTCACACCACACCTCTCAGCTCTCTAAAATGTTGTTTACAGCCCAGCAAAAGCACCTTATTTCTGCAAACACCGGACTGCTTGGCATCTCTTTCAGAAAGAGTTCACATACTAGGCAAGGCTGGCTTCAGGACCTGGGGGAGATAAAGCAGGTTGGAACAGATTAGCACCCTTGTTCCCACAACAGAGGCTTCCTTTCTGATCCCCCTTCCCATGAAGGCAGGATCCCCTGCATTCCTGGTGGTACGGGCTCCTGCCTGCATCCTCCTGTATTTTTCAGACAGCTGCTCTAAGAGTAGGGAGCGAAAAGAAGAGGAGAGATGGAGTGGGACATGGCAAGACTCCAGTGGCATACAGAGGGGATAAGAGGCAGGCTATCTGGGAAAACCATCACAAAGCAGTGCTGCCTATCCAGCAGAGAGAATAGGGCAAAACTGGGTGGGAGAGGCTGCCTCCCTCAGCAATTTACCCACATTGGTTGCAGCAGCAGCAACAGAAAACTTCGCTTTACACAGTGATGTGGAAAAAATAAAAGCAGCATGGTTGTTCCTTTGGCACAGACAGACCCTACCTCCTGCAGAAGGGGAGCTGAGCCAGAGAAGGGAGCCATGCTGAAATCTGTGCTCCTCTAAATCACAACCCCCAGGAGAAATGGTTTTTAGCCTTGTCAGTGGTCTCAGAGCACATCTGTTGATAAGGGCTCCTCACAAAATACTCTGCCTTTAGCCCACTAGCACCTTTGAGGGCTAGATGAGACCTTATTTTCAATCCTCTTGAGTATTCACCTCTCAAGGCTCCTTGTAGAGTGGCTCCTGTCACTTCAGGAGCAACCTGTTCTCCTGGCTCTCAGCCCTCCAATCACAGCCTATTTTGCATGGCATCCTTTAATTAGAGAACAAGACAGACTTTGTGCTCAGGGCACTTTCAGGGTGGGCAAGTTCTGGGCTCCCATCCCTGCATCAAGGCCTGGGCCTTGGCACGCGTCGGTGCCTGCACAAGATGAATGAATGCAGCATTCCTGTTGCTCTTTCCTCTTCCTCTCCCACACACTCCATAAATATTAAAGCCTTCCCTATCAAGCAAAAAATGCTACCATGGCGTACTTGGCAGCACTCGGCAGCACTGTTCTGTAACACATTCCAGGTGCTCTTCGGGAAGCTATTCACAGTGGTCTTCCCTTGCTGGGAAGCCGTCTGGCAGCTGGGGCGGCATCACTGTCATTTGTACTCCAAAGGAAAAGAATACCTGGTTCTTAAAGACCATGTGGAAGCATCTCCTCTTGGTGATGGCCACCACGAGGGGATGGAGGCATCCAAGCACTGGAGGTTCAAGTTACAACCAGCCCTGTCTTCCCAGTGCTTGCACCAAGTGGTTCATGCCACCTTGCGGGGTCCCACTTCCAGCTGCACAGGCAGATGGCACAGGGAGCATAGGGACTGCAGGCTCTGGTGTGAGAAGCACAGAATATAATCACAGAATCAACTAGGTTGGAAAAGACCTCTAAGATCGTCAAGTCCAATCTTTACCCCAGGACTAAACCATGTCACTGAGGGCCTCATCTACATGGTCTGTGAGCACTTCCAGTGATGGTGATTCTACCACTTCCCTGGGCAGCATGCTTAACAACCCTTCTGGTGAAGAAATTTTTCCTAATATCCAATCTAACACTTCCCTGGTGCATCTTGAGGCTGTTAACTCCTGTCCTATCACTTGTTACTTGGGAAAAGAGACCAGCTGCTTCCTCGCTCCATCCTCCTTTCAGGTAGTTACAGAGAGCAAAAAGGTCCCCCTTGAGCCTTCTCCACACTAAACAACTCGAGTTCTGGACCCACTCCAGCACCCCAATATCTCTCTTGCAGTGAGGGGCCCAGAACTGAACACAGTATTTGAGGTGCGGCCTCACCAGTACAGGGGGATGATCACTGCCCTGGTCCTGCTGGCTGTGCTATTGCTGATATAGCCCAGGATGCCATCAGCCTTGTTGGCCTCCTGGGCACAAGCTGGCTCATGTTCAGTGGTGTCAATCAGCATCAGCTCCTTTTCCACCAAGCAGGTTTCCAGACACACTTTCCCAGGGCTGCAGCATTGCAGGGGGCTGTTGTGGCTCAAGTGTGAGACCTGGCACTTTGCCTTGCTGAGCATCATACCACTGGCCACAACCCATCGATCAGCCTGTCCAGATCCCTCTGCAGGGCCTTCCTATCCTTTGGCACATCAACACTCCCAGCCAACTTGGTGTTTTCCGCAAATTTGCTGAGGGTGCACTCAATCCCCTCATCAAGCCAGTGCCTGGGAATGAGGTGACACACTGATCAGTGCATGTTGCTGTGCCCAAGCTGTACTTGGGACCTGGGCCCCAGCAGCCACCAGTTTCAGTGATACTCAAACTCATCAGCATACCACTCTCTTTTGAAGATGGGACTCAGATGACACTTTCACAACCCGCTTAATCCGATCTACATAAAAGCGCCTGCTAAGTGGGGAGCTCCCTCTCTTGCCTCCTGGCAGTGTGCTCCCAACCCTTCCTCCACACCAACCCTGCAGCCTATATAGCTACACCTTCTGCAGAATGAGGGAATTGGTACAGCTGAAAACATTTTTCCTCTGATAATTTTCAGCTGGAGCAGCTCCCTGGTCTGGTAACTCCATTGCTGTATGAGCACTGGTGCCAGCACAATGTAAACAGGGAGTTCACAGGGCCAGGGGTGGGGATCAGCGGAAAGGACTGGACCAGCCCCCTTGGTGCTGTGAACAGGTTGCCAGAGAAACCATGGATGTCCCATCCCTGGCAGTGCTCAAGGCCATGTTGGATGGGGCTTTGAGCAGACTGGTCTAGTGTGAGGTGTCCCTGTCTGTGGCAGGCAGGTGGAACTGGATAATCTTTGAGGTCCCTTCCAACTGGAACCCTTCTGTGATGCTATGAAATAACCACCTCCAGGTTTTAAAATACATAGCCCTTTGAAAATGGTGCACGTGTTCTTAGTTTGGTTTTAAAAATCAGACTTACATGTCTGCACTCACCTAAATGAGGAATTATTTTAGTCTTTGCTAAATCCTGTACAAACAATATCAGTCAAAGCTGAAACACACTGTTTTATTGAAACCAGATTTCTCAACTTCTTTAAATGAGGCATTTTTTGCATTACCCTGAATTTCACTACTTGAATACAAAAGCCAGCATCATAAATGCAAAGGCCATGATCTGCCAGCTCCCTCGCTTTTTTCCTTGTTGCTATACAGGCTCACTACAGGGTGTATTTTCCTCTCAGTGTGAGTGTGATGCTACAATTAATACTAATGGCAATTATTAGGGCACATCAAAAGATGAGCATAGTACACATTAGCAACAGAAAACAGCCTTCTGCATTGTTGACTCTGCTTTCAGCATAGCTATTTAGGCACTGTGATATTTCTCAAAGTATGGATTGGTGATTGCCATCAATATAAAGCAATTTCAAAAAAGCAGTGCCTCTGCATGAAAAATAACAGATTAATAAAAGAAGCCGGGTTTAATTACATGATTCAAGCAAGGATTTATCATGAAATCACCTAATACGCTGCTATTACCAATTACAGTTCAGTTCAAAACTGAGACTTAGCTGGGTGAGGAAATGAGCTTGGTTTCAGGAAGGAAAAGTCTCAGAAAGATGGGACAGAGAAAATGGAAAGACACAGGGACAAGTCCGTACTAGAAATGGCCTTTGGGGAATAAAGAAGAGTACATAAGAAGAAGGTGATGGACAGCACACATGGGAAAGCAAGAAGTAGGTGTCTTGAGACATCTTATTACCCACTGCTGGGTACTCAAATAAGAAAATCTGTCCATAGATGGACTTCATACTTTGAGCTAAAAGACAAAGAGTCTTTTGTCTCAAAGAAAGGCTGTACCAGCTCGTGTGGGCTGTTCACAGCTGCAGGAGCAGGTTCCTCTGTAGCTGTTAACTTGGTAACTGTGTTGAGTTGGTGGTGGCTTTGTTGGCTTCTGCCTCCAGTGCTCTAAATGAGCAAGTTTGTAACTAGCCCTACAAAAAAGCCAGATTCCACTGTACCTGTCAGTGTACTCTAACTAGTTAGCGCATGTCTGCCCAGCTCTTCAGTTAACAGCATACATCAGGCTCAGGAAGTGTGCACTATGAGAAGTACATGCATTCCCATTTCAAAATAACCCTGATAATAAGAATACAGTGTAAACTAACTTGTCCAGCGTCCTCGATCCCAGCCGAAACCAGGACATCCAGAGCACAGGAAGTTCTGTAGGTTGCTTAATCCACCTGAAAACAGAAGAAAACCAGATTTGACTTCCAGACTTCGAGGGAAGGATGCTCATTCCCCTCTTTGTGATGACATCTGGGGAAGCCATTTCAAATGTAAGGTGAAATATAATATTGCAGAAGCACAGATATTAAACCTTGAAAAACTGCTTTTGCTGAGGTACGTCTAATTGAAACCTTGTGTCTCCTTGGATCTGCATTTAGACCGCCTACCTGCAAGAGAAATGAGGGGAGAATTTTACACTGAGATACTTGTGAACTATTTCTTTGCATACAAAAAGAAGATCATTCTTGGATTCCAGTGAAATCTCCTCCAAGTGTTGTATAAGTGAAACCAGCTGACTGGCCAGGCTTCCTATAGACCCATAAAAAAGCGGGAAGGGTGTAGTCTACCCAACATATCTAATCTTCACACTGAAACAGCGTCCATCCGTGCAACATCTGCTTGTTGGCAGACGACTGCTGACTCAGCAAGTCTTTAATCTGTCAACTCCCAGGTGTTTTGATAAACCATGAAAGCTGTTAACTTAGACCTCAAATAAATATTTTCTGCCCTGAGCATGGTGGAAAGCTTTTGTGTACAGGCACCAGCCCTCCAGATCGGGAGGGGTGAAAGGATGCTCCACCATTTCCCTTTCTTTGCACACACGGAAAAACCACGCTGGTTATTGACTTTCTCCCTCTCCACCACAGCACAATCTGGAGGAAATCCCTGAAGAAAAGCTTCACCTTGCAGCCTCTCCCTGCTCCAGCACATAAGTCAATGGCCAAACAGCAATCCCACAGCAATAGGGTTGCTGTGATGCTGCAATATACCCTGAGTCACAGCTTTAGGCACTCTGCCCATCTTCTCAGTTCAAACGCAGATGAAAAGGGAGATGCACTTGAAAAGGTTCAGCTAGTCTTAAGGGGTGTGTCTGTGCCTGTGGGTCATCAACCCTGTTGTCTGTAACCGAAAGTTGATAACAGGCTTGAATAAAATGAAAGAATTATATCAGAATCAGATGTATGCAGATAAACATGATAAAAAGATACAATGCTTTAATTGATGCTATGACAAACCTTACAAACATTATAAGGCAAGCTCATTCACTGTTTTGTGATTTAATCCAGAGGCACCTATTTTCTCTCTAAACTTTCCAAGCTTTTTCTGTGACATCTCTTCCAGAACAAAATTCAAGAACACAAAAAATAGAAGGTGTTTTCCTCATCCTGACTCCAGGTCAAATAAATATGAGTGTGTTTGTAAACAGAGAAGGTATATTACTTTTTATAAAGCGTGTCGACTCTGGTAGTTGGCTACCAACAAAAAGATAGACAATTACTGCACTCCTGTGCACAAATTTCCTTTTGGAAAGGAGTTTATAACTTAAAACTGATTTTGACCTAAACTTATCATGCAAGTCTGTGGCCTGGAAGGAAAACTATTTTGCAACATTTAGAACCAATGCATCAGGTATTTCTGCTTGTTTAGCAGTGACAATAATAAATAAGAGAAAAACACATGCGAAGCTGGAACTGCTTTTGCAACGCTCACCTTGCTTGCAATCCCGTCAGATTTTATGGCAGGTTATAACCCATCATACTCCTCTTTTTCCCCATGTGTATTATCACCTGAGATCGTTGAGCTCGTTGGATTGTACTGCCTAGCACACTGTTAGCTAGATATAAATAATAAAAATAAAAAGACATTATGTTTAAAGATATAAATCAGAAAAAGCAGTATTTCCAGACACTCTCTCTCTCTCCACAACACACACACACACACACACCCTACCCAGGGCTTCTGTGAAGTAAGCCTGTGTGAGAAAATCACTGCAGACTTTTCCACAGAACCCACAGGCATGAAGAGAAGGTTACTATCCCTTTCTTTTAAACTCCCCTGGTAGAACAGGGCGCAGAGCTTAACTCCATAGTAATGACATCCTAATGTAACCTTCCATCTGGCACTAACAGGAGCACATCTTTTAGCGAAGCCAATCTACTGATGACTCATGCGTCTTGGTGCAAGAGCCCTGGGGGGGGGCAGGGAAATAAACCACAAAACACAGATATCTTGATCTGTTTAAAACCTTCTGCAAGAAAAAAACTTTCAGAGGGAAAGTAGGAAGTTGGCAGCCTAGCCTGACTCAGACTTACCTGCTGCTTTCCACCAAGCACCTACCATGCTGTGCCCTTTGCAGCAGCAGAAGGGGTTTGTATGCTGAGGAGGCAGAGGAGAAACAACCCATCCAGCACACGGGACTGCAGCAGGTGAGTCAAGTCCCAGTGGGTGTCAAGATACTGATTTCAGACTTTTAATCTGCTCCAGGGCAGAAGTGGATATGGCAGCCCACTTCTGGAGGGTAATGGAGAAAACCTTATAGTGCCAGAGACAGATAGGAGTCCTGAAATGCACACATAATCCAGCAGAGACCTGCCATCCATCCAGGTCAAAGCAGGCTTTGAAAGGCTGTTCTTCCCACAGAACTCATGGCCACCCCCAATGTCCTTATGTTTGTACGTACATATATATACATAGAGACAGGCCCTGAGAGAAAAGCTTGGCTCTTTTCCCCACTGCTCTCCTTTTGTATACACAAAAATAAGAGTTGACTCATAAAATGTAATGACACGTACTGGGCACTTTTGTATATTAACTGATGCATCTCAGGAGCAACGTCCTTGAGGCTCCTTGGCTGTAATATACCTTCCTGCTGTAATCAATTTGTAAGCGCAAACTGTTCTGAGTCTCATTTATTACTCTTCTAATGTCTGCCTTATTGTCTATTGAGTCTATTTTATTTAGGTGAGCTAAAAATGACAACTGCTTCTCACAGTGCACATATATATTCCTCTGTTTTGAACATGGTTATGGTAGTTTGACAACTTGTCTTTTTGTTCATGCAAGCCTTGGAAATAAGACCACCTACCAAAGTGTTTGACAGCATAAAGACACTTTTACTTTAGACTGATGCCATTTGTCACTATCAAGTGTCAGAATCACTGTCCCAGAGCAGACTAAAGGTTTGCTGAACTCTGTGCCCAATCAGGAGCACTTAATACGATCCAGTCCTTCAAGAGAAAACATAACTCTTAATAATAAACCTAATTGTATTATGGAACTTTCTCCTATTTCAGCATCTAACATACAAAATCAGTGCACAAAGACTCTGCAATCTCATCCTTCCTTGCTGCAATGTCAGGAACTAGCATTTATTTAATTGCCACTTTCAGGCTAAGTTGGTTTTCCACATCCTTTGCATGGGAAATTCATTCCTGTATTTATTGGTTGCTCTCCCCCTCCCTCCCTGGCATTAAGATTTCTTTCTTGCTCCCAAGAGCCTCAATCCTCTCCCTTGACCTTGAAAAAGGGGAATTCTAAAGCTGCCCCCAGGTGGGAGGTGTCCGTGTCTTTTTTCTGCTCCTGCGAGTCTCAGCGCTTTTTGCCACAGCTGAACTGGGATTATCCAGACTGCACTGGCCACGCGGCCGGGCCCCCACATGGGAGCCATGTGCAGTTCAGCAACCGCACATTAGTCACTCAGGCAAGGCAAACCCTTGAGTCATGGTATCACCCTACCTCCTCTGTTACCCACAGCTTTACTTGTAAGGAAATTACACCTCTGTTGCCAAATAATGCTAAACTTATCTCTTGTTTTTAAGATGAAACAATAATGGATGTATCGTTCATGGCAATACTGCACTGATGTAATACTCTTTTTCTGACGTTACTCAATACCCTAAACCAGCACCACATTGTCTCCCGTGCAATATTTAAACCAGCATTGTTTAAATCCATACCAGAAGTAACTGCAAGTTCCAAAGCATCACTGTTGAAACTGTTAGCTGCTTTCCTCTGAGGTTTCACCAGCACTGCCGAGCAGAGCCTGTAATGTGGTTTCCAGAGGGCTGAGCGCAAGGCAGAAGGGATCCATGCAGCAGAACATGTTCTCTCCCTCTTCCCTTCCGGAGAACAAAACTTTACTATCCACCATAAGGCACCACATCTTTCGCATCAGACTACAGCAAGACTGGGGAGCGGACATGTTAGGAAACCAGGGTAATCCCCTCCTTGTTCCTGACTTTTTTCCTGGCATCGTCCCAGGAGGGGAGGGGTAAGGGAGTTAACAACATTACAAAGAGAACAGGCGTCTCCAAGCTAAAGATCTTCCAGCCTTACAAACTCCTTTACCTTAGAAGGCAAAACCTCCAAAAATCCACACTTTTAAACATACATAGAGGCTGACTAATTATACAAACCTCTGCCAAGTAGTACCACGACTGGAGAGCTCATGCTTTACTAAAATGTTTTAACAGTTAGGTTGAAAAAAGAATTAACCAAAATATGCTTAAAGCTGAAAGAATAATTATTCTATTTTTAAAAGGAAAAAGCCACCAAAAAAAAACCCAAAACCCTCAACAAACCAAAACAACCAAACAAGCCCTAAACTTGATGGCAGTACAAAGCAAAATTTCAAGTATGTCTACAGACCTGGCAATTCAGTGCCCAAGAAGAAAACATCATATGTTATGGAAGGCCATATATATTTATTAAATGGATATGCTCTGTGATATGCGCACATTCTGTTGTCATCAGCAAGTACACATTTAGTATTTCAACATGATAGAAACACCCAATTTTGAGGCACATTATTTCAGCAAATGAAAAAAAAAAAAAAACAAAGCAGAGAAAAAGGACTGAATACAATTTGGGTAATATAAACCCAATTAATCTCTAGTATCCAAGGAGGATTATAGAGGAAAGACATTCAAGAGGTGGGAGAGGCAAGTATCCCAGACCTATTCAGAAGGAGATAAAAGACCACCCCACAGTACATTAAGATACTTCCCGAAAAAGCAAGTCATTCCTTGGCTTTGCTCCAACCTCCATGAATCGCTGCCTGCAGAATAACCATACTTGATCTTCTCAGATTTTGTTAAAGGGGCACTGACCTTCATGCCAGCATTAACGCAGAGCAACTGGACTGTCCAGCTGGGAACAGCTTACCAGAACTCAGGCCGTGTACGGTGCAGCTCATATGGTCATTCATCCATTTTAGATACATAGAGTTACCATCACTACGTAACCACTCCCTTTGGGAAACAGCGACAAAAAAAAGGCACAAAACCCCCTCTCTTGCACATGCACAGATTTATGTGTCTAGTAAGGCAGCTCTGGAAGTAATTCAGAAAAATAAGATAAGAATTTCAGACATTAAAAATATAATTTAATGGAACAAACATAAATCATACCAAAAAGTTTAAGTCACTTTCAGTTAATACATTTGCATTTATTTTAGAATATACTCTACATCTGAGTAAAAAAGTATTAAATAAGCTCCAGCACATGTACAACCGTGTGACCCGCCATCCATCCCGCCACAGAGGGATGCTCCTCAGCCCACCTGGTTCCCTCCCGGATAGCAGAAGCAATTTTAGGCCAGTTTTGTCATATTCATCGGCTTGCACCCGAGCCTCCTATCCGCCAGCTACGCCACTGCCTCGTACATGTACGGGTGCGGCCTCCCCTCCCGGAAAGGAGCGGCACCCGCTCGCCCCAGACCGTACAATAAAAAACAAGGACGTGTGGGGGGGGGTAATTAATAAACTAGTACTGATTAATTTACATCTCTCTCTCTGGCTTGTGCGTTGGTAGAAAACCGGCTGCAGTCCTGGGAAGCGTCAGCCCGGGGGCACCACCCGCTACGGCCCCGGCGGCAGCAGCATCAGCGGCGCCGGGTAGCGATGTACCGGTGCCGGTGGTCCGGTCGCCGCCTTCCCCCGCTCCCCGCCGGCACTCACTGCCCCCAGTTGCTGAAGCCGATCTCCTGCTTGTATCTGTTGGTGAGGACGTTGGCCTTGCGGGTGAGCTTGGAGAGGACCGAGTGGAGTCCGCTGAGGTGGTAGTGGAACTGCTGCTCCAGGTCCTCCTCCCCCTCGCCCTCCTCGGCGGGCCCGCCACCGCCCAGCTTGTCCTTCTTGCGGGCCGCCTCCTCGCCGGCCGGCGGCTGCACCACGCCCCACTCGATGTCGTTGCGGATGGATTTGAGCAGCATGTAATGGCTGTACATGTCCCTGCGGGAGAAGTAGGCGCCGGGGTCTCCGGTGGGCAGGGCGGCCTCCCGCTGCGGGCAGACGGCGCCCGCCGCGTCCAACTCCTCCAGCAGCAGCGGCACGTCGCGCAGCAGGCTGGGCACCATCACCGTCTGGTCCATGTTGTTGACGGCGCCGATGAAGCGGTTCATGGCGTTGAAGAGGGAGTACTTCTGGCTGTACGAGTCGCAAATCTGCATCATGAAGGCGGTCGAGCCGGAGGACGAGCGAGACGAGGCCAGGCCAGGCAGCTCGGACCGCGGGGCTCCTCCAGCGGCGACCTCCTCCTCGCTACCGGCACCGGCCGCCCTCCTCCGCTGGCTCGGGTTGACTCGGCAGCTGCTGGCGAGCAGAGATCTGCTGGGAGGCGGGAGCGACAGGCGCCAGGGTTAGGGGCTGCTTTTCCTCCGTTCTTCCCTCCCTCCTGGCCCGTCTCCTCCCGCCAGTGCCCTCTCCGCCTCCTTCCTCGGCCCTCTCTCCGTTTCCCGGCTTCCCCTCCCTGTCCCTTATCCTCGCCCCCCAAACCCCGACAGCCTCCCGGTGCGCCCGGTGCAGCCGCGGCGCTCGCTGCTGCCGCTTTCCCCGTGCAGAAAGAGTGAAAACGCAAAAAACACCCCCAAATCCACAGCTCCTGCCGGAGCCACGCGTGCCGTGTGCTGGGGCCGGCTAAAGGGAAAGCACACCGGCAGCACGCCGGTAATCAGGAACTTGAGCAGGCCCCGGGCGAAAAAGCACCGATTGGCGGCGGAAAAAAAGGTGGGGGCACCCACCGTGGTCCGGAGCCGGTCTCTGCCGCGCCGTCAGTTCGCTGCCGCCCGTGGCTGTGCTCCCATCCCCAGCTCCGTATTTATAGCGTCCATCTTAAAACAAGGTGTTCCCCAGTGCCACCCCCTGTGCCGCCACCATAGATAAAGGCGGTGGCCGCGCCGTCTCCGCCCCTCGCCCCGCAGCGGGGGAGGGAGGGGGCCGGGACTGGCCGGGCTGGCGGCACAGCACTACATAACCTATCCCACACCAACCCTCCCCGCCGGCATCCCTTGCTGCGGCGGCAGCCCCCTCGTCCCCACCACAAGAGCGGGGACCGGTAATCTCCTTCGTTACAGGGCGCCGGCAGCGAAGGGCACGGTGCCGAGACCGACAAATGCTTCATCACCGCCCCATCTCACACCTCCCCCCCCCACGTTAGCCCCTCCACGGCCGGGTGGAAGGCGGGGCCACGGCGGACCGGGCAGGGAGGGCGGGAGCGGAGGGGGAAACAAGAAGGGGAGTGATTGACAGGGCAGGCGGCGGGGACACGCGGGCCCCGCGTGCCGCTCGCGTTCGCCCAGCCCTCCCATTGGCCGCTGGGAGCACGGCGAGCGTGACGGCCGCACCGCCCACACTCCCCGCTTCGCGTGCACCCAGCGGCAGTTGAGGCGGCGGAGAGGGTGCCTGGTGGTGCTCGGCCAGCAGCACACCGACCGGCGGCGACGGCGGCTCCTCCGCGGCCCTCCCGTGCTGTTCCGTGCCGCGCCGTGCCGTGCCGTGCCAGCCCTCCTCGGGCGGCCTTTGTGTGCGGGCCACGGCTGCTGAGGGTCTCCTGGCAGAGGCCGCCGGGCGGCCGGCATCACCCCACAGCCTCACCTCCGGGCCCAACCAATCGGCGGGTCGGGCTCCACCGCCCCCTGCCAATCAGCGAGCTTGGGCAGCAGCCAATCGGAAAGAACAAGCTACTTCCCACGCAGCTCAGCCCGCCGGCTCGCGCGGCCCTGGTAACAGGCGAGCTGGCGGGGAGAGTCGCCGTGGGTCACGTGGGGCTGGGGGGGGGGGAGTGCGCTCGTTGCCGTGGCAACGGATCAACCAACAGGCGGAGGCGGGTGGCCGGGGTCTGCGCGGTGCCAGGGGGTGGAGCCCGCGGCCGCGGCCTGTAGGGCGCTGCGAGGCGTGGGGCCGCGGTGTTAGCGCTGCAGCGAGGCGAGGCCTGGGCTGTTAGGGGAAGTGTGCTCAGCCTGCGCTTCTCCAATGCGTGCCCGCGATTTGGCCTGCCGTGCCTCCCGGGCTGGCTGGCGGTGCGCTCCCGCCGCCTGTCTATCTGCTCCCCGGCTGCTGCAGCCTCCTGAGGCCCGACCACAGCCCGAAGGGAGGAGTAGGCCTGTTCCCTGAGCACTGAGATACAAACCGGCGGCGTGAGCGAGGGGATCGCGACCGGGCGCTCTCCGTAGGCAGCGCGGGCGCTGCCAGTGCTTGTGGTGAAGCAGTAGCAAGAGATACGGGCTGCTAAAAAGTTATCATCTGTTCGCAGAGAATTAACAATGGGGAAAAAAAATAATCATCTCACCAGGCCAGAAAATTGGCCACAACACATATTTGTGTCTTTATATAGTCATAGTGTGTCATTAATAAACCATTAACAATTTTGCTGCCTTTAGTTGAAATACAGTGTGTGCTGAACATTCAATAAATTGGAAAAAGACATAAATCTTGAGGAACAAGAAGAATTGGTTCATTATCCAATTTTCCTGTCCAGATTTAAAAAAAAAGAAAAAAAGAAAAAAAAACCCAAACAAATGAAAGCGGAAGACTTTACCTGTGATTACAACGTACTGTTGGGGGAGGAGAAGAACGTGACAGAAATAAAGCAGCCTGGAGCTGCAGCCTGGAGACGTGGGAAGCATGTGGCTGTAGCAAAAGCACTGGATGAGGAAGCGTTTGTGTCTTCAATGTGATGATACTACACAAGTTATGACCTGAGCATAAAGTAATTTCACCCTCATCTGCGCTCATCCCAAAATGTCCTTTCGTACGGTCTGCTCCCACCTCTGACTGTGAATGTTAACCTCATTTCAGTGCAGCGCTAATGCAGCACTGGAGCCTGTGCTGGCATGTGTCTGAGCCATTAGGCTGGGGGGGATCATGCTCGAGTCAAACTTCACAGCATAAGGCAATCATCTTTTATTTTTTTTTTTACTTCCTTATGTTCTGATCGATTTTGATATGCAGTGTAAATGTCTCTGGTATGTATAATGTATATCATTAACACAAGCCTGAGTAGGTTTGATTGCTCTTTGGTTGGAACGAAATAAAGGAGCATGTATTTCGAACACGAATGGTGTGGAATTGCAATGGCTGGGCACACAAGAGAAAAAGAACAACACTTTTCCTTCTCCCCCTCCTCTTAAGAAAAGGTGATCCCATTTGAGGCACAAACTTTTATGTGCAAGCAGCATTTGTTTAAAATATTTCCTCTTGAGAATGATCTGGTTATCGTGGCCTTGCAGTGCCTGGAAGTAGAATCAGCTGGAAACCCCTTATCTCGGGTCCTGAGCAATAAGGAAGCATGCATATTTGCTATCTGCCAGGCCAGGAAGGGGTAAACGTTCACCTTCACCCAGCACAGGGTCCTGGATAAGGAAACCAAAATGATGGAAGTCCTCATCTAGCGCCTCAACGGATGGAGTGCTACTGACTATGAGCCCAGCAGTGTGGGGGTAAAAATGACTTTCCACTTGAATAGATTTGGTGCTGCTACTCAGGAAAGGAGGAGTCACATATATGTTACTATATTAGCTAAACCCCTTTCATTTTCCCTGAAATGAATGAGGGCTGGTGGTGTTCAGCACTTTCTGGATGAAGGCCTTCTTTCTGTGGCTGACTCCTGAAGAGTATCAGGGGTGAACTATCGCTGTTACTATTTATCTGCTGCCGTTACAGAGCTATTACTAATATTAGCTAGTTAATTTAGATATACATCAGTATTAAGTTGCAGTATCACTAAGGCTGGTGCTACAAAGGCTCGCTGTAGAAACAATACTGCTGGTGGCCCGTCTCCTCCTGCGACATCAGCAGCTGCTCAGTATTTTCCAAGAAAAGACAGATGATTCTGTCAGCTCGTGTGGGTTTGCATACCATCTGCAAGGCCTATCTAAATTCTCTCTTCGGTGGCAACAGGATAACAAACCGCCTTTGTTAACAGTTTTCCCAGGACACATGCTGGCACAAAATAGGTGCCACTGGCACATTGCAGACCAGCGATGGCTACACTTTGGCGGTTAGAAAGTTGCTCTGCTGCACAGTGTTTGCAAAATAAGATGAGATATTGTGTGGGCGAAAAGTGATAAATATGTGCAAATATTTAGTGTTGCATTCCGCAGCCTGGGAACACCATTTGGGCCGGCCTTGTAAGAGCAACATCTCTTGGGAATTTCACTTCCTCTTTTAATTTGTTGTTGATGTGACATGGCAGATTAGAGTTCAGCCTTGGAAACTGAGAGTTCTTTCCTTCTATTCCTATCTGACATACATTTTTCTTCAAACTTGTGAACTGCTTCCATCATTTTGGGTGGCAGTACAGATGCATGCATTTAACACTTCTCTCTTCTTCTTTCTCTTTCTGAAACTGAGTCCAGTTGTACCAAACGCTGAACCAAGGAAACCCGTCATTTCTCATCCAGAAGGAATGTTATGTGAATTTATCGTCTTAATTGATGCCTCTTCATAAGTTTCATGTAATCAGCCCTTGTAGCTTAACTTGCTAATGAACAGGCTAAGTGGAAATCTAATACGTTAAAGGAATGCAGACTAATTTGTCAGAGTCCTGCTGAGACCTGCAGTATATGTTTTACAAAGATTTACTCATCTCTCTTCTATCTTTCATTTAGCTGCCTTTTATTCCTCTTTATATTGGTCTTCTGTGAGAGGGGTGATTCTCCAAAGTGGAGAGAATCCCCTGGGAAGGCGTGCAGAGGGATCAGGAAGATGATTGGAGAAGGGGGCAGGGATCGTAAATCCCCTTTCCCTCTGGCACACATGCAGATCTGAGCGAGACCACACACTGGCAGCAGCAGCACAACCAGAGTGCTGCAGCGGCATGCCTTGGTGCAGAGCAGCAGTGTTTTGTGTGTATGGTGAAAGCATGGGAGTCCAACAGGGTCTTTGCTGGGAGCAGGAGCAGGGAGCAGTGCTGAGCAGGGAGGTGACCGCCTCAAGAGGTTCCTATGAAGCCTCTCTGAGTCTCTGGGCTCTGCAGGTTGCACTCAAGTCTCTCCAGGCCTGCAAAGCCCTCACTTCCGTAGCAACATTCCTGGAAATCATTGCAAGTTCAGCTTCAATCTGTTCACCAGGCCCTGGGATCCCTTCCAAGAGGTGCTCAGCTAACACCAGGAGGTCAAAACAGGCTGACCCCCCCACCCAAATAGGGGCCGATGGGATAAATACTGCCACAACATTGTTCACATGGTATGTCTGTAGCATCCCTCTTCCCTACCTTTTGGCAGCCTCATTCGTCTCCCCTGGAATCTGGTTGGAGCAGGCACTGTGCAGTGCCTGGGACAACAGCGGCCCTTTTCAAATGACTCCTTAGTGCTGCCATAATAAGCCTGATAAATAAAACATAGCTTGCAGACACGGATTTACTGGAGAGGGCTAAGGGGGCTGTAGCTCCCTCATTAGTATCTCCCGGTGCAGCATGTGTGCTCCTCATTAGGTGGCACAGTGGCGGTTGTCTAGTCATCCATGATGAGGCTGCAGCCACTCTGAGGATGTGCCGGGGATCCCAGGGATTTTTTTTTTTCCTCCTGTGTTAGTAATAGGAATTTACAAGGTGGGGGGGGGGGCCCCCCCAAGACTTTGAATATGAAGAGGATGAAAGAGAAAGACGGACTGAATCCGATTTTCTCTCCCCCTTGCATCTCTGTAAGTCATCAGCTATTGCAGAGAAGAGTGAGTAGAATCAAGACCTTTGCACTGCAAAAACTCTTATTTTGGGGAGCTTTGTATTGCTTCAGTCTAAAATGCTGCTTGTAAACTTCCAGGCAAAGTTTAAACTTCATCCTCTCCCATTTTCCTTCTTTTGTTCAAGGGAAAAGAATCAATTTGGCCAATTTCAAGTACCTCAGAGCAGGAGACTCAGGAATCTGGGTTAATCTGCACAGAGTTTGTGGAGGTTTGATCCAGCTTGTCTTTCTGGCCATCATTTAAATCCCTCCTTCTTCCCGCATACAAGCTTGCAACTGCATCATCGTAGTAACCCTGTGACCGAGAGGCATGAGTGTCTCCTCCGAGACTGTAATCTCACTCTAAACAGCTCTCTGGTGGGTGCTCCTGAGTGGTGATACATCATGCAATTTTCTCCTTTAGAAGCTCTCTGTGTCATCTCCACTGTGATCCCTGCCCTGCCTGGCCGGTGCTGGTGAGCCAGAGCCCTGGGCTGGTCTCGGAGCAGGTTCCTGGCGCAGCACTATGTGGCTGGGGCACATGTGGGGTCATGAACACCCTTAGCAGAATCTGCCCCTTCCTCTTTGGGGCAGAAAATAATACCTGTTAGGATGGCAGGAGACTTTACTTGCATAGCAAAATAATCCTCAGTAAACTCGTGACTTTCTGTAACTGTATTTAATATGCAGATAGCCAAATGAATGCCACCATGATATATTTTTATGGATAAATATTATATATTAAGCCCTGATTTATATATTTGAGCATAATACCTGGGGCTCTGAGGAGAGCCTTTAATCTCAGTCAGCAAGGCAGCATGCATGCTAAAGCACTGAGTAAATCTGCACAGGAGCGGTGAGCTGAGCACAGCATATATCAGAGTTCTTCCACCTGATAAAATTAAATACACAGGACCACCTTTCTATGACATTACTGGTTTGATACGCTGGGCTGACATCAAGAAATACTGACCTGCTCTGCCCACTCTGACCAAAATCTGCAGTGTTCTGCTGCTTCTCTGCTCCCTATCCCAACATGTGGGAAGGGTGCCACCTAAGCCTCCTGGAAGAAGGTCCTGCTTGAAGGAAGGTCTCTGTCTGTGACTTGCTTCTTCTCTTCCCTTTGCCCCACTGCACCTTGCTTCCCTGTGACTGTCGGGGTGCAGTCGGGGGGGTGTCCATGCCCTATTTCCCCATCGTCAGCATGTGTAGTAAGATGAGCATCATCTCAGCATGGGGTTCTGCATTTACTAATCTCACCAGCTCAACTGTTTTTATCTGAATCTCCCTTCTGAACTGATAAATCTAAATTGCACATTTTCTAAACCGCTTAGCTTAGGGGTAAATCTTGCAGGTATCCTCAGATGACTAGCTCGTGTCTTCTGCACCTGTCTAGCACCATCTACTGTAGCTTTTTTATACTGTTTTCCTTTCCCTTTCCGATCTGCAGGCTTACGATTCCTTCGGGAGCTGCCTTCATCCAGAAGAATTTGTGGAAGAACGGGAACTCTGGTTTTGTCTGAAAGGCCTGGAGCTGGCATGATGGTGGAACAAATACAGTACAAGTTCATCCTATAGATAATATTTCCTCTTGTTAAACCAGTGACCTGATTTTCAGTGCTTAGCTTGCTGTTGAGCTCTCAGTGCTCAGAAAGAAAAGAAGATGGAGCAGAACAAAGGTGGCCCACCTTCACTGGAGCTTTCCATGGTAGCTGGTGGAGCAGGAATTGGGGACATGATAGGATGAGGGGCTGGAACAGAGCTTTTTGTGGGGAGGCGAGGGCCTGCATGGGAACAAATCTTCTGGTTGCTGCCAGAAGGTGCCAAGGGGGAGACATTAGTTACGATTTCTACCATCTGTTGGGGAGTTATGGGGTGGGTACTAGAAGCAGCAGGGTTTTCCCGTGGAAGTCCTACCTCTTCTTGTTATATTCAGTATTAAAAGGGGAGCTACTCTGAAAGAAATCCCACTTTCCCCAGCTCGGCAGTTCAGAGTTGACATGGAGGCGTTATGTGTCCTTATTATATGCACTCCTATTAGAATGTGGGTTTGGCTGGCAGATGTTGCATGGTTAAAGATGAACTATAACAACCAAAAATAGAATGAGAGCTTTCTGACTGCTGTGACTATTATGGATTTGTATGATTAATATTTAGTTGCTTTACTGAAGCACCAAAAGCTGGAAGACAAAATTAGAAGAAAGTTATGCTTAGGATTGCATATGGCTTTTTTGTTTTAATAATAAATCTGTTCATAATGAGAATTTCTGTAGGTGAAAGACTGACATAAAAATACTGCCAGTCTTTTCCAGGGCTGTAAAACATGAAACAAGGTACATCGTACTTTTTTATTATAGATATTGAAACTCGAATTATCTGTTTGATACTAA